ACTCCCCAAACAAATTCTATACCCCGGGTCCAGGTACCCTCGCCCCTGTAGGGGGAAACGGCATCTAGACCCAGGAGATGTTACCCTTTCCCCCGGGGTGGAGGCAAGCAGACCGCCCCAGGCTCAGCAGCAGCAGGAGGCCTCGCATCCTAGATCCCAATCGGACAGCCAACACCTCCTTCCAGCCCCCCTGCCCCAATGGCCAGCAGTGAACAGGGGTGTGTGCAGACCCCAAGCCTCCCTCCTCTCGCTCATGTGTAGTTGCTGCGTGTTGTTCTAAGGTGCATTTCATGTGTTCTAACATGACAGTTTTTAGTGGTGGACCTACAAAAAAATCAGCTGTATGCACTGTGAGAACATGTGAGAAATAGATCACAGATACACCCACGCAACGCCCCTGCAAAATCTGCAAATCCCATTGTGTTTTTTTTTTTACTGAACAAAGCCACCATAAGAAAACTGTGAAAACCACAAATAAACTTTTGTTAATCAGGTTAATCTTTTTTATTATATCCACTGAAGGGAAGGAATGTAATTTCTCCTAATGTCAAAATATTTTGGGGTACAGCTTACAGTCCTGTGTCGGAGCATGCCTGTTTCCATTATGACAACTCTCTCTGCTAGACTGTCACTTTAGACCTATATTTGACGTTCATTTGTATAACCTATGGTTTTCTGATATCAGGGAACAAACTATGCCTCTCCTGTAAATTACCCACAGCTAAATACCATTTTAGTTTGTGACCTTGTGTTAAATTGTGGAGTTCTTGGCAGATTGGGCATACCAAATTAAATGAAGTGACTGTGTTCAGAAAAAAAGCCCAACATTTGTAAATCGCTCATATAACTAACCACCCCTGTGAGCACTATTTTGGGATTGCATTTACACACTATTTTGTATGTTTGGCCCTAAATGAATACATGTGGAAAAGGATAAATGTGGCTTATAGTCCAAATGGGCCATGTGTAAGCCACAGTTTCATGTCTGTTCCATTGTCTGATCACTGAAATTTAAAAATCATGGAAATAACTTCATCATCATTTCACATTGACACCAAATTTGTAATCACCAGTTAACACAATATTCACATCTTTGGACCGTGGAATGAGATAAACTAGTTGGAGGAAAAGCTCGCAAACTCCACACAAAAATTTAAAAACTGAGATTCATACCAGGATTGTTTCACTGTGAGGCCACCATTAATGTCATGTTAACTTTTGGGCTTTTGATGATTTGACTTTGAACTGTT